CCCCTCATCCACCAGGCGGGTCACCTGATCACAGGAGGAGATCAGGTCACTTCTCTGTTTTGCCTTATTCTCAAAAAATAAGAGAATACCTGTAATGTGGGAATATTTCTTTTCCAGATGATTCCATGTCTGACTTAGTACATGATCTCTAAGGTCCCTGCCAGCGTAGGCCATTCTATGATGATGATGAGTCTAACTCGATCCGTTGGATTTACAGTTCTACATTTCTGTTACAGGAGGATCCACGACTGAAATTTCCGGTGCATTTGAGATCAAAAGCTTCTCTGAACCCGAACGATCTGGGTCCTCTTCCTGTAAGTGATAATGTGGATGTGTTGTAATAGAAACCTGCCAGGTTACCAGTCTTGTCTTGTACGTGCACACATACATCGCTGACACCGCTTTTCTGAAGATATTTAAGCTGTGTCTGCATATAGCACTAAAAAGCTTTATTGGGATCTGTGAAGCAGTCAGGCTCTTTGAAGCCAGCCCATAGTCTTTCTGAAACTTTTACGTGTTTATTGGCTTATCTGATGCTTTGAGCTTTGGAGGAACTTACCTTGGTTTTATCTCTGACTGTGTGCTGTTAGCTAACTACCTGTTGCTTTAGGAGAAAAATGGAGCAGATTGTTCAAAATGAGCTCTGTCAGCCCATTATGGCATTCAGAAATCCAAATTTCAATTTTTTTCAACTTCCATATTCTGCAGAGAAAAGTTATCATTGTAATGTCAGAAATTTTGTCTGAAGGGCCAGTTTACCCTGCTAATTGCAGGAGGTAAAACATGCAGTGAAATCAAGACAGCCTGGAGCTATCTTGCCAAGAGCTTCTCAGAAAAGATGGACGAGGAGTGATTTCTCACCTACACTTTACAGTAGAGCACAGAGCTGGGCCGAGCGCCGGCGGGGCCGTTGGCTCTCCTGTCCGTGTGTGCTGTGATCCGCTGGATACGGGGGAAGGGAAGGGATACAAAGGGGACACTTGAGGACTAGGTTAGACGCTCTTGTCCCGCTGTCAGGGGATCCCGGCTTACGTATTTACAGAAATAACACACGTGCGTTCCAGAAGCAGGAGCAGAAACCTGCCAACGATCAAATACCTGTTCTTTGTGATCGTTTCTGTGTAGTAGGAAATGAGTATAAACCTTGAGTCAAAAAGTTCCTAATTCCAGGCTTTAAAATCTTTTCGCTCTGTTGGCTCGTTACCTGTGCAAACAGCCAGACCTTTGAATCTTCCGAGATTCTCGGCTGTGATCATTTTGTGGTTTCTACCTTCCAAGCGTCAATTTAAGTAGGTGTGGATAATTGCTTCAAGCTGGTATTATTTCACTTATTTTCACTTATTTTTCTCTTCTCTTTTTTATCTTCTTGGTTTTGTTTCCCAATTAACAGCCTGGTTGGGAGGAGAGAATACATTTGGACGGAAGAACATTTTATATAGACCATAGTAAGTAATCGCGCGGGTGCTACAGCAATAGACAAAGGGAGGTAATAAGTATTGAAGTGAAAGCTTTATAATTTTACTCTTCATTTAGGAAGCCAGGTGTTGATATGTGGAGACATTGATACCAGAGACTTAGTGCCCTCCTACGGTACTGTATATTCACTGAAAGCTTGCTTTTAATTGGCTCATCAAGCTTTGTCCCTCTCTACTTGTGAAGCATTAACATTTCCTCTTTGTGGTTTCTTTTGTTCTCGTTGATATTTTGGATTCGTCGTCGTCGTTGTTGATGATCCCATGGCTTATTTGCACTCGATTAATTGAACTATACCCTAGGAATAGAAAATAAGATGAGAAAAGATCACAGAGCCACAACCTCGTGTAAAGGCAGTGGAGCGATGAGCACCCATAAGAACGCTGTCCCCTCCTTTAAGAAGGTCTCGTGGCAGAGCCGATTCTGATCTTATTTCCTATTTAGAGCATGTTAAACTGCACCCAGCCCATTAATCTGACTGAGTTCTGTTAGTGAAGTTCTAGTGTCAGTGACGTCTCATTGTAGACTTGTCTCACTACAGCATCTCAACAACTACTGTGTGAGTTTCTGTTGTTGTTTGAAATGAAGCAGCCCAGAAAGGCCGGGTTGTTGTTTCTTCTTCTTCTTGTTTTTTTTTAAGACTGCAGCTGGACTTTATAATATTTCTACAAATGGCCTAGTCTTCACAGAAATAGGTAACTCACAAATCCATTAGAAGAGTGTACATTTGCTACGCAAAACCTGAAGTAAAACGTTAAACCGTTATACGTACTTGACAGCATTACGTTTTTCCTTCAGTATAAGTAACACTGACTCCAGCGTATATGACATTAAATCATTATTAAAAGACTGTTTCTAAAGTAATACAAGTTTTGAAATAGTATAGTTTTAAGTAAAAATTAGAAGTAATGCACTTGTGGAGCACAAGATTAACCTCTTTCACATACCAGTACAGAGTTATTGTCCTTTATAGCTTCAGTACTTGTTTTTCCCAACAGCTATCTGGAAACTTAAATATGGCGAATTATTCTAAATTGCTGCCACCGAAGAGTCGCTGAATAAAACTGATTTAAAATGCCTGTATAATTGTTGAGCGTCCCAACCTCCTTTTAAAAAGTTTTTTTTGGTCTTTTAAATCTACTTAACACATGTCACAGTCTCTAAAAGTGACTGGAGTGTAAAAGTTGTACATTAGAATTCCTCGAAGAATTTATAATTGTTATAAAATGAAATTTATTTGCATCTGAAATCTCTCCCGAGGGGCACAGGTGTGACAGCCGTGCTCCCCCTAAATACGCCAGTCTCAGCAGTCCGTGGCCGTGACAAAGCAGCTGGCATTTCAGTCGCTCTCTGCTGAAGGGGGTAGTTAAGGTGCAACACACGTGCCCAGTTTGATGATTAGAACTCAGTATGAATGTTCAAAGTGTAGACAGATTCGGCTGCTGTTGATGTGCTTCCCCAGACACATTTTGTAATTCTTCTGCATAATTGTCCAGTCCTGTTGTCCTGGGTTTTAAATGGTTTTCTCATCCCCGCGAGAAGCTGCACACAGAAACCTCCTCTTGTGGAGCGATGTGAAGTGCTATTAAGCGTGCCGAATAAACTAGTAAAGCAGAGTACTATTAAAGTAATTTAGGTATGACTTGTAGCATAGTAGCCTGAAAATACTTATTTTTAGATTTCAACTGTAAACAGTTCTAATTTCTGCAGCTGTCGATCTTTTAACAAAAAGTAGTCTCCAGCTGGCTGTGAGAGTCCTCAGCTCGCCAAGCCAGCACTGCAGTGGGATGCCGTGCTCTGCTCCTCGTAGCACGTGTGTCTGCCGCAGCTCCTCAGAGCCTTACGGGACAACAGGAGCTCCCTGTTGGAAGGCATCTCCCAGCCTGCTCAGAGCAGTCAGCAGCGGTTTGCTGGCAGACGGATGATACTTTAGATGCGTTCCCTTCAAAGTCTGTTCTGGATCCCCCTTTCTTCCATACACTCATTAGTGATCTGGACAATGAATTAAGGGGAACATACTCAGTTCGGCAGGAAACGCCAGCGTAGGTGAGAGGTGCTCGGTGAACAGGATGAGAAATCAGAGCGGATCTGGTAAACTGCCAGAGCAATGTGAAGGAGGTGCCGCTGGATTAGAACTGCAGTGTCACTCAGAAGGGGAGTAACCAGCAGAACCTTGGCTGAAGGCAGACATGGGTTCACTCACGCTGTGATGTAGCTACAGGAGTGTCGTAAGGCCTCAAGTGACCCATCTCACCTCGGCAGCGCCGACGCTGTCTGGGCGGCGCTGAGGCTGCAGAGCAGGGGCCCAGGCTCGAAGCAAGCGGTGGGCCGCCTAGACAGGGAGCAGAGGGAACCGTCAAGGGCCCCACAGCCTGATTTGAGGGGAAAGAGAGTGTTGTATTTGTGTGGAGAGGAGAGAGAGAGATGGCAGGTTTTCCAGAACGTGCTGCAAAAGGAAGGAATTTGTTCTCATCATCCACTTGGGATAAGACAGAGGTTTCTGAGCTACACCTCCCAGTGGAGCCGTTTGTGTCGGACCCTTCTCATGGCTGGGGCATCGTGTCCGTAATGTCACTGTAACCGCCAGGGAGAAGATTTGTGAGTGACACCGTGTGCTGTGTAGGGTGGTAAGGAAGAACTGACCAATTTGCAGTCATTTCTGGTTTCTTACCTTTGATTGCCACCGGGACTTGCGGTTGCTGGTTTCGAGGAGGTCTAAGAAATGATTTGGTAGAAAAGCAGTCGACTTTGTAGAAGGAAATTTGACTGGAGAGGGCCGGGTCAGGTGTCACGCCAGGATGTCGGGCTCCAGGCTTTTGATCTCATGTGGTGTCTGGAGCTGTCAGCCTCCTTCCTCGGTGATTTCCATAACCACTAAATAGACATAATGTGTAAAGGGAAATAGATAGTCTTTTAATATTAAATTAACTGGTAGACCAAATTTCTTGAAATGCGCATGTGATCTTTTGAGTTTCCTTCAGTTAACATTTAAAGAACATGACTTTTAAATCCCAGTCCATTTTAAAACTAGCTTGGGATGCTCAAAACTTACGGGTCTTCTCCAGCTGTGGAAACATTGAAAATACTTGTTTTAATATAGGTGGGTTTTGCTCTTTGCTTTCACCTGCAGTAGCCATTAAAACAATTTCTCAAAAGCTAATGTGTTTATTCTCAAACATACCGATTACAAAAGTTAAAATGCAGACTGCTGTCCTGATACGCCTCTCCTAAACGGGAGCAGTGGATGTCACAAGCAGGTGTGCTGTCACCACCCTCAGCGCAGGAGGCGGATACTTCAACCTCGCCATTGCAGAGGGCACCCAGTTTGGTTTCTGGAGCATTGTCTTGTTGTTGCAACATCATCATTTTGTTGTGACTCTGTCGTGTTCAGACTTTTGTGAGGAGCAGTTGTCTGGAGGCAGGGAGAATGTCCCCGTGGTCCTGTATAACCTTGCCGTGTCACCCCCCTGGGGCTCCTACAGACTCTGTGGCAGTAGTGCCAAAATCTCCTTCGGGCAGAACGAAGCATCTCCTTTAGCAAAAGTTGTCACTTTGCCTCCCTTAACGGTCCTGTTGCTTCTTCGTCAAATTGCTGCCTGGGACTTTGTTTTTAAGAGATGTCATTCCCTCCAAATTTAAATACAGACTGACTTTAAAAAGTATTACCTTTTGGCTACATCTATGCAAAATCTCCAAAAGTAAGCTTAGCCTGCCATTTGACAAGATTTTGGGACTCCGTTACCTTTCAGGCCTGAAGTCTGTGTGCTTCTAACGAGTTGAATCCAAGATCATGTTCGAACCGACATGTTTACTACTACAGACATTGGAATAAAAGCAGTGTAAATACACTGGCTTCTGTTTAGTTTTGCATTTTTGAATGAGTGTGTTAAACTAAACAGGTGATGGGGTTTTGGTGCAGATGGGTGAGTCAGCCTTTTCTAACCCTGACATAGTACTAAGCTGTGGAAATGGCAGGGAAAACAGTCGTAGGGAGAAAAAAACAGCTTATGAATTCAGTGTGGTAACAGGAGAAATGATACAATGTCTTTTGTTATTTACAGATAATAAAATTACCCAGTGGGAAGACCCCAGACTGCAGAACCCAGCGATTACTGGCCCGGTAAGTACGGCTCGGTTTTGTCCCTTTGGACACCGTGACTCACCTACATGGGTACAGCTGGGAGGCCAATACATCCGCTGCTTATTGCCGTGTGCAATTCCAGAGCAAAAGGAGCTGTATCTTTAGCTTAATTTTGACAACCAAGCACGTGAATTGGGGGGAAAATGAGGTTTTAAATGAATTGCATCTAAAGTTATCTGTAATATAGTCTTCAAAACATGTTTCTTTCTCCATACTTGCTGATATTATAAGCTACTTAGTGTGGAGCAAATAACATTAAATCTTAGCGTTTATCTTTTATTCCTGCAGTGTGTTAAGATAGCATGTTTCTGCACTAAGCTCTGTGCAGGGCACATACCTGCTCTGAGTGCTGAGTCAGAAGATCTTGGAATCTCAGACCAAGTCCTGTCATGCTGTTCTGGGCTGGACAGTTGGATAAGAAACAGCTGTTTCCACTCACTGTGGGAGAGTTGCGACTATTTGGATTCAGAGCGTAAAAAAAGACAAAAATTGGGTCAATCAGTTTTAAGAGACATAAAACTTACTGCAGATAAACTAAGAAATTTCAAAATATCAGCCTTAGGAAAAATAAATATGTGCTCTTATTTAATACCACATTTTCAAAACATCAAATATACAGAGTGATTCTTTGACCTTTTAATGCTGGCTTATGCCATTTTGCGGTATTCTGAGTGATCAGACTTCCCACCCTGAGATGGTTGGTTCCAGGTGCCAAGAACACTTTTTCATTTGGGGTAGATCAATCCTCAGGATTCGTAAGGGTCTCGGGACACCGCGGATTAACTACTGCACAGTGTTATTCCAGTTACTCTGTGGTAACACCGGTCATTTTTAGAATTCAGACTGATAGGGCACACTTACTATTTCCTGTTGAGACGTGTGGATGGCAACAGTAATTCCAGTTGGTTTGTCTGTGTTAAAAATCGGTTTTGCTCTTTTCTGTTCCTAAAAGAAGAAAAAAAAGCGAGGGTAAGTAGTTGATAAAGAGAAGAACGGGGTCCAAAGTTCTCATACCTTTCAGCACTAAGAAATGGGAACATTTTGGCTGCTACACTAGAGACGTGGTGGGTTTTGTTTTATGAACTCGTGGCACACATGTAGATAGCGTGTCTGCGCTTCCTTTTGTTTAAATAATGCTGCAGTGTCAAACTGCTCACTAGCAGGAATTCCCTGTATTTCCGATTCTCTCTCTGATAGGCAGTTCCATATTCCCGGGAGTTCAAACAGAAGTATGACTACTTCCGGAAGAAGTTAAAGAAACCAGTGAGTAGAAACGTGCTCCCTTGAGTTGGAGCCGGTTGCTCGGTGCCGGGGAGGAGCACAAGGCTCTCCCAGGCACAGCACGGGGTGTGTCTTGCTGCAGCACACCTGCCAATTTTCCTGGACTCTGCTACTCCTCGAGGGGCTAGGCAGGAACCGAAAAACACAAAGAAAAGTTTGCATTTGGTTGATTTCTCAACAGAAACATTTACAAACCTTTAAGACTGCCGAAAGGAAAGTGATGAGGCAGCAAGGCAGGAGCAGCAATTCGCAGTTTCCCACCGCAGCGGAGGCTCATTGCTGCATTGGTTTCTAAGTGTTTAGGCTGCAAATGGACTTGAGGCTTGATACTTCCCCACCTTCAACGGGGAGCTTTGAGGGGCAGAGCTGAACCAAGTCAGCAGAGCCCACAGTTGGGCTTGATCTGGCACAAGCTTCCAGTGCTCTTGTTCTGTGAGGAAAAGGTTTTCCAGTAACATCTTTTACTTTGACGAGAGCGCTCAGTATTAGCTTGCACGTGATGTTGGCCCATAACTAAGAGTAAACCACCTCGCCAACGCCAGCCATCACGTGAAGAGGGACTTGCCCATGTCTTTACCTGTTTATTGACAGCTCCCTGGATTTTTGCCCCCGTTTAACTGGTGATTGCACACAATACGCCCTTAGAGGGAAAAAGCAAACCTCCTGAAACAGTTCTTTGCAGTCACTTTTACCAGAAAAACTGTATCCGGCTGTAACAGTTGTGGTTGTCTGTTCATCCAGTCTTTTTTCTACAAATTCTTAACTCGGTTCTCCTCTGTCTTTTCTGAATTGAACTCCTGGGCTAAATCATGATTAATAATTAGCTCCCTCCTATTTAGACAGAACTTGTAAAACATTCGGGCAGCCCAGTTCTCTTGTTCATGTCTTTGTGGTTCAGTTCTGTTGTGCCTGTGGTGCTGATCTTTGCGGGTACGTGAGTAAAGCGGATGCATAAATTTTGTGCATTTGTTACTAGTTTAAGCTAAAATACCCTTAAAAGAGAGCATGGTGTTAATAATTTTCTCACTTCTTTTGTTACTTTTCTTGTTGTTTTCATTGTTTTGTCAAATCCAATAGAAAACTCTGAACCACTCTCCCAGAACTTATCTAGTGCACCGCGAGCCCCGCAAAACAAAAACGAGGGGAAACTTCATCCATGAGGTGTCTAACGTGCGGTCAGTAATTTGCCGGAAGACTAATGAGTATGATATAATCTTCTTTCACACAGGCTGATATACCAAATAGATTTGAGATGAAACTACACAGAAATAATATTTTTGAGGAGTCCTACAGAAGAATCATGTCTGTGAAGAGACCTGATGTACTGAAAGCCAGGCTCTGGATTGAGTTTGAGTCAGAAAAAGGACTTGACTATGGAGGTGTGGCCAGAGAATGGTTCTTCCTCTTGTCCAAGGAGATGTTTAACCCTTACTATGGTCTCTTTGAATATTCAGCAACGTAAGTGTCCATCAAAGTATTTCTGTTCATAAGGGGATATAAGTTAGATTTTGCATAAGCTACACTGTGGAGTAGTTACCTCATCCCTCGTGGTGCGTTGAGTGTGCGTGCCCTCTTAGCGGTCAAAACCACCGCTTCTCGGCGATCGTGTCCGACCTCTCAGGAAACCTTTCAAATTGGCATCAAGAGCTCATAAGCCGTTGCCGTTATTGAGATGATATTCAGTGTTGCCTTGCTTGCAGCAAAACTGCAGGGTTTTGAGCCTAGTAATAGCGAAAGGAGTGATGTCAGACAAGACTTTTTATAAGCCCTCCCCTTGCATCGTCAAACACCTGCTGTCCAGATGTACAAGGCTCCTTTATAATTAGCTCATAACCCAGCTTCTCGTTCGCGTTGCAGTAGCCACACAGCAGCGGCCTTATCTAAGTTTAAATTTGGTTTTGTCCAACTTCAAAGTCTCTGAGCAACCCATTTGTGCAAACGAGACAGCAAGTCTCTCACTTAAATACATTTGATTTAATGCACCGTACGCAGTTCCCACCGAGTACTGCAAGCTTCCTTGCAGACAGCAGCTTTGAGGGCTGGATGACAGTATCAGACTCACTCCTTTCTCTAGCAAGTGTTGAGTAGATGGTAAAACAGGTGAACAAAGACTGTGTCGTGAGAGGTTCCTCACACTGGTGTCTCAGGAAAGAGACATTCTGCTGTTGAAGGGAAATGCAGCTTCAACAACATTGACCAGCAAAGACTCCCTCTGTGATACTCGAGTTTACTGGATAAACATTTATTCTGAAATGTTTGCACTTGCGGGATGTAGGTCACGGTAGATATTTTAAGATAATGTTACTTGGTTTTAGGTTCAGAAATCTAACTAGTTATTTTAAGAAATAAAAAACTCCTACCTAAAGCCCCTGCAGTGTTCTTCGCAGATGAAGAATATACTGCAAATTAAAATGACCTCTTTTACACTAGTGTCTTACTGTGGCCCACAGTTTCACACTGCTGCAAAGGAGACTCCTAAAATTCCAGACCCTGAAATTTGTCTGCCCCCTGGCAGAGGGGACAGTTTATCAGATTGTCACAGCACTCAGAACGACGGCGGAGTTTTGCGGGTTTCGGTGACGCACCCTGGGCAGAGGTCAGCGCGGCCTCGCGCACACGCTGCAGCAGGAGTTACCCGCTTGTAGTTCCCGGGGCTGGGCCGCCGCTGTGCGCGGAGTGAGGCAGTTTTCGCCAGGCCAGCCTCCTGTCGAGGCTCCTGTGGGTAAATCCCAGTATTACACTCCTGCAGAAATGAACGAGAAATGGCCCTAAGCTCAAATTGTTTGATAACGTATCTGAATATCTGGTTTCTTAAAGACTTGGTTATTTAGATTTATTTTTTCCTCTCCTCACAAAAGGGACAACTATACGCTTCAGATTAATCCTAATTCAGGTCTCTGCAATGAAGATCACCTGTCATATTTCACATTTATCGGTCGGGTTGCTGGGCTGGCAGTGTATCATGGGAAGCTGTTGGATGGTGAGTTATTACACTGGGTGGCTGTGCTACTGTTATTGGATTTGTACTAAATGAAATAAGTCATGTCGATAATTCATACTCTTTATAGAGTCGTATTTCTGCAGACAAAGTCTGACAGAAAGTAATGGAACTCCAGCTGTCGGAAACTGCATTCCCAGTGTGAATCGTGGTTCACAAAGCACAGTGTCTTACTTAACAGATACATTTCATATGAAGTTTTGCTCCTTTCCCCACTCCCGTTAAAACTTCAGAATCAACATTGCTAAATAATCGCTAGCCCTAAAGGAAAATCACTACATTTGTATTGGCCATCTCCTCTGGGAGAAGAACAAAACGTGTTGCAGTACCTCAAGGAAAATTCTCCGTCTTCCGTGTCTGTGGGCCTTGAATGTTATAGTGTTTAACGGCCTTTGGTAATTAATGGCATCATTCTTGTAATTGAAATGGGACTTTCTGTGCCTGAGTAAAAACTGAGCCTGCTGCGAGAGACTGAGCAGTTGGAGCACCGTGACGATGCGGGCACACCAGGAAGCAGCACGGGAGGCGGGAGTGCACAGCCGCGGTGGTGACGCTCGTCCCTCTCTTTCAGGTTTCTTCATCAGACCTTTTTACAAGATGATGCTGGGGAAACCGATAACTCTGAAAGACATGGAGTCAGTGGTAAGATAACATTTAAACATCTTCCCCAAATAGGTATGTCGATATACTGTAGTTGTATAAAAATGCAATTGAAAGTCAGTTAAAGGAAAGTTCCATGAATCTAGAAGATTTATCTAGAATTAAGAGAAGTACATGTGAATAAAGTAATTCATCTCACCCTGCTTTACAGTAGCTGTGCAACTGAGTTCTCATCTTCCTATCCCCTTTGGAGTTCTGATTTTAGATGGTTTTACTTCTTGAATTTAATGTTCAACTATACGTTTAATGTTCACATTTTCAAACTTTGTTTAATTCTCATCTGCTGTAGGATAGCGAATACTACAACTCTTTGAAGTGGATCCTGGAAAATGACCCCACTGAGCTGGATCTCATGTTTTGTATAGATGAGGAAAACTTTGGACAGGTATGTAAAGGTTATCCCAAAAGCTCCTCTTTCCGTCTTATTACTGGCTATTGACAAAAAATATTTAAGTACTGAGCAGGATGTCATGGTTGGGAACTTGGCCAGGACTGCTGGCTGTTGGTGGTGGCTGTAGGCAGGGTGTGAAGTGAACCTCTCTTCCTCCTCAACTGTCCAACCCTGGGCATTCCAGAGAAGGAGACGACATTGATGTCTGTGGGAAGAGCTGAGTCAGATACTCACAGTGAGGGGTAATAAAGGCATCACGCGGTCTTACAAAATAGTCTCAGCCTGTGACTGTCCGGGGGATTATAATTTCAAGATGTTCTCAAAAATGATGCCCGCAGGGTACTGTTGAGAACATTCTCATCCACTTCTCAGTGCTTCCTCCTTCTTTCCTGAAGCAACATAATATTACTGGTTACATTGAAAATTAGGGAGAAATTAAAGCCATGGGATGACGAGTTTTTGTAATACACCAAATTGTTTGTTGGTGGTTTGCGTTACCTTCTGTTCTGTAAAGATTTAGCTTCCAATTATCCATGGCCTTTCACTGCCAGCTTTCACTTCTGCTGGCAGGAGTTTGTTCTCTGACTCAAGAGAGCCTAAACTGCCTTTCGTAGAGACATTCTGCTCTTCTCCTAACTCTCTGGTACCTCAAGTAACTAATTCTGGCATTGCCAGCAAGATTGATTTTTGTTTAATTTACCATAGATGCATCTGATTCCACAAGAAAATGTTACTTCCATTATATTGCTGGCGAGATGAAAATCTGGCAGGACAAATTTTCTTGAAGAAAAGTCTGAATAAGCTCAGTAGAACAAGGACAGGATATGCTCTCGGGAGGGGGAAATTATCTAGCTGGAGATGGAAACACCTGAGCAGTTTTTTGTGAGCAATGTGCCCTGAACTAATGTGATCTCTTCTTGTGTTTCGTTTCTTTTCTTTTGAAATACAGACATATCAAGTTGACCTGAAGCCCAATGGGTCAGAAATCATGGTAACGAATGAAAACAAAAGGGAATACATTGAGTACGTATGTGTTTATGGAATTCATCCCCAGCGTAGGAAAGCTCAGCTGGCCTTTGTAGAATTTACCCTACTGCGATTCCTGCAGTTTGCACTGCACCGGATCATCAGCGATCCTTGTAAAGTAAAATCTCACTGTTAACCTAGGTCATTTGTACCCTAATCCCCAGAAGGTCGCAGCATACAAAGAAGTGCAGGTCTGAGCACTGAACTGCAGCTCAGAAAAAAGAATGAAAGCAGGATGTCTCTGTATTCACCAAGTCTGCAGTTCTTGCTGTTGTGGTCTCCGTTCGGGGAGCACTTGGGCACTCTGTAGATGGTCAAGCGTTCCTCCAGGAGGCAAGCGTTGCGCTGGCCTCTTCATCTCAGCGGCAGCGCTGGGTTACGGGGATGTGGCTGTAATGGCTGAACAAAGGAGAGCCTGGATGTGGCACCTGGGGCCGTGGTCTAGCCAGGGCGATGGTGTTGAGTCGTAGGCTGGACTTGGTCTCTTTTCCAGCCGCTGTGACTCTGTGATAGGAAATTCCTGCTTTTAGGATTTTACTTCTTGTAATGTATTTGCAGTGTCAGTTTTCAGATGCAAAATATTAGACATCATAAACTGCTTTTATCCCCATCATAGTGCAGAAATGAAAAGCTCTTTGAAAATGCACAAGCCAGGATTCAGAACGGAGTCAGGCTTACATCTAGATAATTCTTGGCTAGTATTTTTTAACTGTAGAGTCACTACTTGTGTGTTCTCATTTGGAAATGATTAATGCAACTTAAAATTTTCCCAGAATTCCATTATGATTTCATTATATTATTATTTCATTAATAATTCCTATAATAATAATTCCATTATTATTCCATTATTCCATTCCTTTTTCCCCAGATTTCCATTATGATAGAACTACTCTAGTTGTTACACTAGAAAAACCAAACCAAAACAACAAAAGAAATGGCTGAAGTTGTAAATGAAATAATCCCTGAACACTTAGTTCTCTGACTTGTAATGAGTGTGCTTATGTGGTTTTGTTTATCTCCTGTAGCCTGGTCATCCAGTGGCGGTTTGTAAACAGAGTTCAGAAGCAAATGAATGCTTTTTTGGAGGTAAGGCTTTTTAGCTGATATCTCCCCCTAAAAATAAATATTTTTTTTTTGCAGACTTCTTACACATCAGTGTCTGTGTTAAGGGACTGGGGAGCTTGGCGTATCCACACAAGTTTTGGAATGCTTATGGTTTATAATTGTGGGTTTTCATTGTATAAGAATGTATAATCTTTTCCTTATTGAGAATAAGAACATTCCTTTTCAAGCTTAAATTACTGAGTTTGAAATAATTTAGTGATTATTCTTTTAAATTAGGGACTCAAACTTCATCAACTGTGTATTTCATTTTCAAAACCCATCTTTGTCCTTGGTCATTTACTTGAGTTTCCTGAAGCCAAAGATCTTGTTAGATAAAAGCTTAATTATATATCACGATATGAGAATTCTAACTTTGCTCTGCTTTCTTTTAGGGATTCACAGAGCTTCTTCCGATTGATCTGATTAAGATTTTTGATGAAAATGAACTAGAGGTGAGGCTTTTTAATAGATGTCCGGAAACAAAAGCTCAGTAATGCTCATAACAAAAAGCTGCGTTATGTTCCAGACTTATCTTTCATCACCCACTCGTTCTAAGTGAATGCACAGACAAAGATGTTTTGCTTATAGCAGGAAAGTGGCATTTTGTTCCCAATGAGTGTCTCTATTGATCACACAAAAGCAGAAAAAATTGTAATTATCCAGTGAGGTGGTTGAGTATGTGCATACAAAAGCATGTAAGTAGCGTACTGAATTAATGCCTCTGGCTACACCACTCAGCTTCTGAGGGAAGTCCGTTAAGCGTGCTGTCGCGCTCAGCACAGCTCCATCACAATCCGCAGTGGTTCTCCCGTGCAACGCACCAGTCTTGGCGATCTCTCCTGAAGAGAAGCTCACACTCTGTACGTGTACTGCTCGGATCAGACAACAGAGGGAAAGCGCAACCTTGTTTGTCTGAGCACCTGTGCAGATCAGCTGAGGCCGTAATGATTTCTTTCCCTTTACAGTTACTGATGTGTGGCCTTGGTGATGTTGATGTTAATGACTGGCGACAACACACCATCTACAAAAACGGTTACTGCCCCAATCACCCCGTTATCCAGTGGTTCTGGAAGGTAAGGCTCTGCTACCACACTCCGCTTCTCTGCCTGTTCCTGAGTGGGAAGGTGAGGGCATTGTTTTGGGGAGTCTGTCATGGAATGTGAAGCCCTGTGTTAGAGAAACAGACCCAATATGTGAAGTCCCATCTTTGATTTGAGCTGAAATGTCTCTGAAAAGCCAGCACAGTGCCCAGCGGCTCCTCGCTGCGGCCCCATGACAGCAGACAGAAAAGGGTGCTCCTTGTTGGTGAGAGCAAAGCCGGCAGTGACCTGTATCACAGCTCCCAGAGTGCTGCGTCTGTTCCAGCCTGACACAAACAGGTCACGTCGAGCTGTGCGGCTGGAAAGAAGGTGACACTGTGTCTGTCAATAGGCCGTTCTACTGATGGATGCCGAGAAACGGATTCGATTGCTGCAGTTTGTGACCGGGACGTCACGCGTGCCTATGAATGGATTTGCTGAACTTTATGGTGAGCTCCCTTTCACCTGCCCACACACCACGCCCACCCCTAGGAACAGCCACACAGAGCCCTGCCCAACGGGAATGAGAAAAGCTGGGCACGGCCAACCTTTGACCCCCCGTAAGAATTCTCCTTCTGGATGCCAAGAACAGTGGAGAATTTTGGGGGCCAATGAGGAATAAAATTTTGAACACCATGAGTGCTACATAGATGCTCTCCTAGCTCCCACAGAAACAATTTCAGCTGTCCACAGGAATAACATTCATGTCACTCAAAGAAAAGAATGCATGTTTATCATTTACAAATTGATGTTTGAGCTCACTTCTTTTGCATTATACTTAGTCTATGCAAAGGCAGATAGGTGAACTTAACAAGCTTAACTGGCCTTGGAACTAAATCACCACGTTCCTGTTTGCTTTAATGTAGTTTTAATTACGACAGTTCGTATCAGGTATTTTGTACCAATTGAAAAATCTAGCCTACAATTTATGCAAACACATAATGTTGAAAATAATATTTGGGTTGTCTCTGTAGTGTCCAGCAGTTTATATTTCATGTGATTTTAATTTTCCACCAGGTTCAAATGGTCCTCAGCTGTTTACAATAGAGCAATGGGGAAGTCCTGATAAACTGCCCAGAGCTCACACATGGTAAGTCATCAAAAGCATAAAATTCTGTGTGCCAAGAAAGAGGGAAACTGATGACTGTGCTTCTCTCTAGCACATTCTAGCTCTGGATCATGGAACTTTTGATAAATGGGATACTCACATGTGTGTCCGTGTGTATTTAAAAGGCAAGGTGATTACCTGAGGGCCCCAAGGTGCAGAAGGCAACACGCACTGTTGCGGGAGGCAGCAGGGCCCTGCACCAGCACCCCGGCAGTGCTGCTGCTTGTGCCTTCCCTCAGGCACAGGCAAGGCTGCGGTATCGGGCCTTCTGCAATACACCTGGGCAAATGAATCCAAAGTAACCTTTTTCCGTCGCAGCCTTTCTGGTGAAGACTTCTTAATGCTATTTGTTACATTCTGAGTTGTATTCTAGTAACTATTTGCCTGTTAACATGTGTGTCAGAAAGAAGAGAGAGCTTTTCCCCACTTCTGTACCACGTTTGAAGGAACAGCTGCCCCTCTGTACCGAATGGCAGCTGTGCCATTTGAAGCTGTAGGGTGGCCTGCAAGCTGCTTTAAGCACTGGCCAGTTAAACTGACAAAATGGAAGTAAGGTGAAACTCTTTCTGCCAGAGCCTTTCCCCCACACCGCGCCCAGACTGAGGATCTGTTTGCGCAAGGTACTCGCCTCACTCCAGGCAGGGCGGGTTTCGGTTGCTCCCTGCCAGGAACACAAGCAGGAGGACCTCCTGGAGCTTGCCTCCATCTGGACAATATCCTGTTAAGGCCCCGAAACTGTTTCACCTCTTCTGTTCAAAATTACCTGTATTCTTCCACGTATCATTAAACAATTCTCCCCCTTCTAAATTTCAGCTTTAATCGCCTAGACTTACCTCTGTATGAATCTTTTGAAGATTTGCGAGAGAAGCTCCTTATGGCAGTGGAAAATGCTCAAGGATTTGAAGGAGTGGACTAAGGCGCCGACTTTCCCCCTGGCGCAAGTCCTGCTTGCACTTCTGCATTGCCACCGGCCCCCGAGTGACTCTGGCAGAGCAGCCACCCAGCGCTGGTTCACGGAGCAAACCCCGCGACGGTGCCGCTGCCCGGAGCCAGAAGTTGGAGCCGT